CCCCTAAACCCTAAAGCCTAGACCCCGAACCCCCTAAACCCTAAGGCCTAGACCCGAAACCCCCTAAACTCGAAACCCCAAGAACTTGCAGAGCCAACCCTGAGAAGCCCAGAGCACAGGATCTGCTTTCGTGTCTTGGGTTTACCGGCATACGTATTCAGTAATCATATATGGACATGTGTATATATATATATATATGCAAATATGCGTATGCCTGATAGTAAATCAGGATACCTGTGAGGCTCTAGTTGGAGCTTTCGATGCTTGAAACTCCAGCCTAAACCCAAAACCCTACGCCGCCCAGAACGGAAGCATTAAACCATTGGGAGTCGAAGCGCCGAATCCTGTTTGAAAGCGAAAGGCCGGGGGGCAACCAGAAGATGCAGGAGACCGAGCCATACTGGTTCAGACGAAAGGGAACTTGCAAGCCATTCTGAATGCAGGCCTGAGTTGACTCTGGCTGCTGAATTCAGGCTGCCTGCTTCTGCGAACCTGTGCATGTACCGGTGACTATTTGGGGGTTGCTTACTATAGTTCATATAGTACAAGACTAGAATCCAAATTTTGAACCCAATCCCTTACTATAGCTCATATAGCATAAGACTAATATAAGATAGCCCAAACTTTGTGTTCCTTCCTATAGTTACTATAGTTCATATAGTATAGGACTAGTAAAAGATAGCCCAAGTCTTGAAACCCTATCCCTTTAGGGCCCCTCCGCAACACAGCTTGCGTAGGGGAGACCCGGCCTCGTCAACCCTTACTATTGTTTCTCGCCCTCCAGTTAGTCGAATAACTTGGAGGGGCCGGAGCGGGGGAGGGGGGTGCGGCTGTTCAGTACTTTTGTTGCGTGTTTCCCCATTTTGGTTTGGGAATCCAATAAGATTTGAGGTTGCCGAGGGGCGGTGTCTACCACCCGAATCGAACCGACAAAACTTGTTCTGTCGCTGCCTCCAATTGGCTGTCTACTCAAAATGAAGACGCCGAAGCGTCGGCGGATATGAAGAACTGTATGTATGAACACTGTATGATCATGCATGTATGTGTGTATGCGCATGTGTGTGCACATGCCTGTGTGAATGTGTATGTGCATGTGTATGTGTATGTGTCTGTGTGTGTGTATGTGCATGTGCATGTGTATGTGTATGTGTATGCGTATGTATGTATGTA